TACCAGAAGCTAATATATTTCCATCAGGAGAGAAACATGCTGATCTTATACTCCGACTATGGCCATCTAATTTATTCAATTCATGAACTTTAATGTTCTTCCATTAACAATTAAACATCTAAGCGCCATTAAAATTGACTCCACTGATATCCACATTCTCAAATTGTGATCCATTCATATTACATCTTACAAAGTTTCCTCCAATCAAAGAAGTATTCTTCATCCTTATATTTTCAAAGCATTGGTTTCTGAGATCTACCTTCATCATTACCAGCATATGAAGTGAATTGGATCCACATTAAATGAATTGATCATCTATACTTGTAATTTGGACTAAAAATTTTAGTAACTCCATCATGTTCTTATCACCTTCTATCTTTTTTATCAGATTCTTTTTATTTTCTTCAAATTGTTCTGAGGAATAGTCTTCCTAATTGAATTTATGATATTTTATATTCTTTAGAATATTTATTATCTTCCTAATTTATTCCTTCTCCTTTTTATCTTAATTCATAAGTGATTAGAGATATGCCACACAGTCTTTAATTTACTCCTTTATGAGCATATCTAAGAGTTTCTTGAATATTGATGATGAGTCATCATCAATAATAATTTAATTAGCATTAGATAAAATTTATAAGAGATCCTCCTATCTCTCAAATACCTCCTGCTCTTCTTGTACTACTTCTACCTTCTATTACACACGTCTATTTATATTAATTAAAAACTTCTTTTTTACCTAAATGATTTGGTCTCATCAGGAGTGATATTGATTATCATTTCTATCTTTACTTGAGGAGCATCAGGTAATTTGACAATTTTGGTACTTGGGTTCTATTCAGGGGCTGGCTTAAAACACATTTACTCATAAATGGAGTCAATGGCTCCATTGACTCTATCGTATGATTCCTAATATGGTAAAAAAAGAAATTCTTACATCCATAAATTGATGGAAGTTTTGAATGCACTGCTGAGTCAAAGCTTTCATTTGTTCTGCTTGCTGTTCTGACAAAGATACTGATTGCATTGGAACGAAGGGAAGAAAAAAATTATTTAAATTAATGATTTGAAAAATGAATTTCTATTAAACTTTTATATCATTTATTTATTAGAATTAGGTGATTTATTTTTTGGTGGAATATAATTTTACATTTTCTCATTTTCTTCATTCAAAGTTGTAAAAACCGAAAGAAAAAAAGGGAGGCAGAAATTTTTGTATATTTGTAAAAGGTAGGGGTGGTTAAAATAGTATAGAGATAAATTTTAATGTTTCAAGTACTTAGGGAGTATTTTTATTTTTTAGTATAATTTGTGATATTTTTGGTTATTAATAGTGAAGAATGAATGAATAGATACAGTTATAATTTCTTACATCCTAAACACTATTTAAAAAAAAAAATCCTCCCATCCAACATCACTAGGGGTCATCTCCAAGACGGTAGTCACTGTCTCACCCTTTGGCCTATTCATGTGCTAAAGTAAAAAAATGGCAATTTTTTTAGGAG